GCCCGAGGCCCAGTTGACACTTAGCTAATGTTTGTTTGTTGTCGAATTAGCGAATGGATTGCTCTACAAGGTTGTGAATAAAATATCCAGTGAACATAATTAAGAATCGTGTAGTGTTTTGAAGTTAATTACATGAAAGTTTATAGAACCCCTATCAGTAAAAGGTCATTGAGTGATTTGAGACTTAACTAAAACAAAATAAGTACTTTGAAATACAACTAATAAGTACTGAGTTCATACTATTGTCATTTTTATGAAAGCCATTTAATTGTTACAAACATTTCACGAGTTGTAGGAGTTACCACTATTTCATACATTAAGAGGACGAAGGTAGGAGATGCTTGGGTTTCCCAAGTTCTCCCAGGTCATAGCTGCAGGGAAGAGATGGAAAGTCAGGCTCTCTGATGCGTTTATTGCTGTACTCCTAGGCAAATTATTTAACTTCTCTGAGTAAAATGGGGAGAGTAACACTTATTTCTCAAGATTTTTATAAAGAATTAAAAAAAAAAAAACATATAAAACATCTAGTGAAAAGCCTGGTCCAGATTAGGTTATCAATAGATAATAGTAGTTACATTTCTCAGGATGCTGGAGGACTTCCTGAGATTTCTGACTGGTATGTATCGGTGGCCAGTCTTCCTTATCCCACACCCTAGGGACTCATCCTGCATTGTCTGCCCCTTTGCTGCTGCCCACTCTGTCCCCAGCATGTTCTGGAGCCTCCAGGACTGGCTATGGAGCAGGAACAGGCTCCTGGGTTCCTCCTTCCTCGCTGCAGCCAAGCACGCCGGCCCTTTTCACCGCCTCAGCAGCTCACCGCAATCTTCAGGGAAGAGTCGTACCGATGACATGTGGGTCCCAGACCTTGTCCCGGCATCAGTTTGTATCACTGTTCTCTCAAGTGTGAAATGAGCTGTTGAACCGAAGAAATTTCTATATTAAAGTTTGTTATGCAAAGGAAATTTTAGTAATAATATTTTCACGTTTTCACTGCAGAGTTAAGCAATACTATTACCCAGTCTCAGAAAAAGGAAAAAAAAAAAAAGTTTTAGATATTTTCCTCTCCACCAAATTAATTAGTGTTGGCCTTGCCTACGTTTGTCAGATCCATTACTGTTACTATTAACTCTTCCTTCTTGCTCTGTTTCTCAGCAGGGGTTACATGCCTGCAGCGTGTATTCGGAATTGTTTCTTGAATATAGATTCTAGGAAGAGCTGAAGCAAAGAGACAGAGAAGAAAGAAATAGCACGATGACATTTCTTTTAGGCTCACTGCCTAGATCTCACTTGGCCTGTTGCCTTCTTCTCATTAACCCCACTACTGAATCTGATGAGCCCGCCCTGATTTATTTTTAGCAACCTGAAAGGCACTGCCAGAGCTGATTTTCATGGGTGATACACTCATCTACAAAGCTGCCCTTCGATTCTGGAAGATTAACCCCTTCCCTGGAAGATTTACTATCTACAAAGCATCGTGACACATTCGATATATATTTCTTAAACACTTTACATGATTGAGTCTATTCTTTTATCATCATAAAACTTTCAAATATTGGCTGTTAAAGCAGAGTGAAAAATTCTTGATAAATATGAATGTGATGTGTGTAAACTTACTGTCTTCTGAGTTAGTGAACCAGCTCTGTAATCACTAATGAATGGAAGCCAGACTTCAATGCTACTGCATGTTCAGTGCCTGGTTTAGGCTCACAGATCCACCAGGGGCCACTGGTAACAGAGTCATGCACCTCTTTATGACCAGGAGTCACTAGGAGAAATAAGCATTGTTAGGCAATTCTGTTGCTGTTCAAACATTATAGAGCTCCCTCGTATAATCCGCGATGGTATAGCCCACTATTCACCTAGGCTATATGGTCCTATTTGTTACTATACAAAACAATATGAGATTAAATCAAGCAGCACTTACGAGGCTGCTGCTGGCGTCACACAGCCTACTCTTCCACAGCAAACGTTTTCATAAGTAGAAAGAGTACACCTTAAAATAATGATAACATGTATAGTGTAGTAAACACGTAAATCAGTAACACAGTTGTTAATTATCGGGATCAAGTATTATGTACTTATACACAATGGAGTACTAGGCAGCTGTAAGAAAGAAAGATCTCTTATCCTTTGAGACGACATGGAGGGACCTGGAAAGTATTATTCTAAGTGAAATAAGCCAGTCAGAGAAAGACAAATACCACATGATCTCACTTATATACAGAATATAATGAATGTAACAGTCTGAGGAATACGGTAGACCCAGAAACATGGAAGTAGGGCACAGACTGACATCCTCAGAAGAGGGGGTGGGAGGTGGGAAGAGATAAGCCGCAGAACTTATATGCATGTATGCATAACCAATGGACATGAACAACAAAGCCGGGGACAGGGCGGGGGGGATGGGGAGGAGGGTTTCAATGGGGTAAAAAAGGAGAAACATCTATAACAAAAAATAAAATTAAAATAAAAAAAAAGTATTATGTACTGTCTGTAACTGTATGTGCTATACTTCTATGTGACTGGCAGCACAGTAGTAGGCTTGCTTACACCAGCATCACCTCAAACATGAGTGATGCCTTTTGGCTTTACAACATTACAAATGCTACGAAGACACAACAGCTACAGCCAACACTAGGCAATAGGAATATTCAGCTCAATCATAATTTTATGGGACTCTCTCACATATGCAGTCTGCTGTTGACCAAAACATCATCATGAAGTGCATGACTGTACAGAATGGGTCCCATTCTATGTTTGGTCCCAAAAGTACTCTTGGTTTGCTAACTGGCCAGGAACCTCTGGGGTGGAATTGGAAACCAGTCCTTGTACAGGAGGACAGGGAGAGCTGGAAGAAAGGCAAACCACTCCAGACTGGTAAGTGGCAGGTTTCATAAGCAAGGGGACTTACCTTCAGGAAGCTTGTCTTAGACTGCCCAAGCTGAGTAAATGTTCTCACAGCCCACAAAATCTTACAAGTTTAGAGTCCTTAATGGGGTTCAGTCACAAACACAAGAGGCCTTCACTGGGGTCAGTCATGTAGACCACCAAGGCGGTCTCAACAACACATTTCTATCTCAGTGCTGTAATCCTGGGGCAGCTTCGAGATCCGGAAAGACAAGCTGAACACATATTCCAAGGACAGGGGAGCCTCCAATTGCCAGGGTCCAGCTCTGGGGTCAACCAGAGGTCATGTCCTCTCGATGACCTCCCCTAACAAGTACAGAACTCAATATTAGAAACCTAACCATGTGTCTGAGGATAAGACCATGTGGATAAAGAGACATTAAAAAATGTTAAGGATTACCCAGGTCACAAAGCACGTAGCATAGGCGAGGGGGTGACTGTGAGTCCGGGCTTGCTGGGCGGCTGGACATGCGTGTAGGTGTGCACAGTGTCAGTGGTGGGGGTGGTCTTGGGCTGGTCCTGGAGCTGGATATACAGGTAGAAATAAGACACAGCCCCTGTCCTTAGAGGACTTAGGGTCTAGTGTGCTTAGAATATGAACACCATTAAATCTACTGAATGTTAACAGAATTAGACTGTTAAAAGTCTAGGACCTGTAAGAATTAGATTTCTGAAAAAAATAATAAGAAAAATATTTATACATTTTTAAGGTCTGTATAGCCTCTTTTATGGTACTGATAATAGAGTATGCTTTTTTATGGTACTGATAGTAGTGTATGCTTGATTTGTCTAATGACAATATGGGTGGTACCACAATCAATAAATCGATTAATTCTAAGGGGCAAATGCCTCCCTATAATTAATGCAATCAGCAATTTTTTCATTCATTTAACCAGCACTTATCAGCTGTATGCTGTATATCAGGCTCAGTGTGTTGAAAGGGAAACACAAACATATGTAGAACAACAATGAAACTCAATGTTGATTTGTGCTAACCAATGGTTAAGAGACCAGGCAAGAAGTGTCACCTTGGACAAGTGACTTAATCTTTCTGAACCTTGTTTCCTCAACTAAAAACTGAGAATGAAAATAATGTCATCTCATGAGGTCATTGGAGTATTAGATGAGATGACTGTGTTTATAGACTGCCTGGCTTAGCCTCTGGATCCTTATCCTTAACAACTTTCCGCAATTTTCTGTCCCACTTCCACGGAAGAGAAGTCTGAGGTTCAGAGTGATGAAATCACTTTCCCAGGGTCTGCATACCCAGAAGATCAATTAAAACAAAGTAACAAGTGGTGCAAAGTGTCTGAGTCTTGTGTGAAACCAGAGAGCAGAAGGGCTCATTCAGCCTGTGGAGTGTGGGAAAAAAATCAGGAAAAAATAGTTAAACCAACTACACAAATGGTTTTTTCAAATGCTGTCCATAAACATTTACCTGCAAACTTGGAGCAAAGTTTTCAGTCCATTAACTGCTGACTTTCCCATATATGCTGCGGATCCGCAGTCCGGTCCCTTCTACAAAGAGCATCTTAGCTTCTACTATTAAGGACTGGCTAGCCATTGATGAAAAGATTGTCACAGGTTTCTCAGTGCTGGCTTTTAGTAATTTCAGAGCTGACAGGTGAGAAGGGAAGGAGGAAATAACTGCCTTGAGACATTCTTCTAGACTTCTCCTAAGACGACCACAGCATTGCCCCCCACCGTAAGATAACGTGCTCCCTGAAACCATGGAGCTTCTCCAGCAGAGCCGGAAACAAGGACTTCTCTGGAAGTTGAATGCCAAGACGATTTTCATTCATTCATTATTTACTCATTTCCATGATGTTTATTTTGAGTTTTTTACATGACACAACCCATGAATTGGACGCAACTTTTCAATGAAGAAGAATCCTTAAAGTAAAATCCTAAAAAAATCATGAGACATAAGAGAGTTCACCTCTCTTTCTGCCTTTCCCTGTAAATGGTGTAACTGTATTTTCCAAAGTCATGCTTACCACAGCATTCGTCTTGGAAAAATTATTTCAGTATAATTTTATTGCTAATAATCTGAATTTGACCTCCATTTCCATGTTTTCTCTTTTCTTAAACAGAACGCTACAACATTCCATGTAACTGTTCAAGATGATAATAGCATCGTTGTCTCTTTAGAAGCTTCAGATATCATGAGTCCATCATCCGTGTATGTTGTGAAGATAACCGGTGAATCAAAAAATTACTTCTTCGAATTTGAGCAGTTCAACAGCACTTTGCCTCCTCCTGTTACCTTTAAGGCCAATTATCATGGCCTTTACTATATAATCACTCTGGTAGTGGTAAATGGACATGTGGTTACCAAGCCATCCAGATCAATCACTGTGTTAACAAGTAAGCATCATGTATAATATTGCCCTCTGTGTTTCTTCTTTGCTTGTATTCTCATGGGATTCTAATTAAGAGAAATCAGCTCAGAATGGCAAGATCAAGTGAAGTCAAGTAACATAATTTTGCTTTCAAGTGACATTAGTTGAAAGTTCTGCATATATTAAGAATACAGTTTCTTGCTGAAGTTTAGTAATGTGTTACTATTATATTTTGTTTAAAATGTTTAAAACGAAAAGAAGGCAAACCTTAATGAGGTATTTTAAGACTGAATGACAATTTCAGATTCATGATTGGACCATGTAATTTTTTACTATATAACTTAATAGTATAACCGCAATTAAGGTATTTTTTTAATAACACATATTCTCATACTAAGCAGTTTGCTTTATGAGACATGAGTTTATTCTCGAATATTTAGCCTGCTTAAATTCTATTTTACATTTTTATCTGAGAGACAGATAATATTATTTATCCAGTCACTATTCCCCACCTCATCTTGATAATAGCCTTGGCATCCAGTGCCCAAGAAAAATGCCAAGAAAAAAAAATCATTGGTATTTTAAAGTTCAGTAGTCCATGTCTTAAAAAGTTAATGCTGATATTAGGAATTTTTAAAAATTGGTTTTAACTATATGTGATGTTCACTTTACTCAGACTTTAATACCTGATCTCAAAGTAAGATGCAATTCCACTGTATATGTTGAGGTGTGGAAGAGAAACTGTTATCTATAATGTAGTAGAGCAATTTAATGGCTCAGCAAAGTTCTTTTTGCCCATTACTCTTCAGTGCAAATTTTTCAATACCTGCAATTTTTTAAATAACAGCTATATGTGATCATTCTGTCAACAGTTAAAGAAAAGGACATAGTGATATTTTCTGTTGGGATAAAGGACAGAAACACCAAGAAGCAAGAACTCAGAATCAAGCTAGAGGACATACATTTAACATGTCAATAAAAAATTAATTAAAGTTTGCCTTGGCAGAGTCCCAGATCCACTTTGGGTCCTAAAATTAGGAATGGCACAGACATAAGACCTTCAGGATTTATAGATATAATAAACAAATCTAGGGCCTAGTTGAATCAAAGGAAGAAATTCTCTGGAAAAATACTTTCTTAAACAAGTTCTACAAAAGGTGAATTGGGAGTAAATAGATCCAGACAGCAGATGTAGGTACATAATACTTATAATACATCTCTCTGAAATCAGAAGCTTTGCCTCATTCATTTTCATAATTTCATAAGCATCTAACGTGAGCCTTATGTTTAATAGGTGATCAATAAATATTAATTAAATTTAGTTAAGCAAATACTAGGAGGAAGAGCCATGAATAAAAGACTAAAACACAAAGCAAAATGAAACTGTAGTTACTCGCTGACTCAACATTCAGTTGCTTGCCCTCAGCCACGCCTGATTAGACAGAGCCGGACAAGTCAGTCCTTCAGCTAATGGCTCATAAAAAATTTTTATAAGTATTTGATTAGAAGATTTCTAGAATAACTCATTAGAACACGCTATGAGTTCTATTTAAAGTATTTTCTATGTTCCTTTGTGATTTAATCTTTGACATGTGGGCTTGAAAGTGCGTTGTTGAATGACCAAAAATTTGGGGTGAATTCGCAGAGATCTTTTTATTGATTCTTAAGTAGATGCTTGTGAACAAGGAACATACTTTGTGTGATTTCAATGACTTGAAACTTGTTGAGATTTGTCTTATGGTCCCACATGTGGTCTATACTGGTGTATATGCTGGGAGCACTTGGTCCGAGTTGAGTGTTCAAGTCTTCCATAGTCTTACTGCTTTTCTGTCTGCTCGTTCTAACAATGCTCGATAGAGAAGTGTGGAAGTCTCCACCCGTGTCTGTGGGCTTGACTGTTTCTCCTTTCACTTCTCTTAGTATATGCTTCACATATTTTGAAGCTCTGTTATGTTGTAGGTGCAAACACTTTTAGGATTGCTATGTCTTCTTATTGAGCTGAGCTTTGCATCATATGCAATGTCCTTCTGTGTCCCAAGTAATAAGCTGTGTGTTGAAGTCTATTTTATCTGATATTAATATAGACTTTTTAGTTTTCTTTTATTAAGTATTGTCATGGTATACTTGTTTACTTTCAATCTATTTATGTCTTTGTATGATGGAGGGTTTCTTGGGGACTCATAGAGCTGGATCTTGCTTTATTCCAATCTGGAAAATCTCTGCCTTTTAACTGAAGTGTTTAGACCAGCACTATTCAATAAAAATAGAAGATCCATCACATAATATTAATTTTTCTGGTAGAAAAATTTAAAAACTTTTCGAAAAGGTGAAATTAACTTTAATAACAGTTTATTTAATCCACTGTATTCAAAATATTTGTTTAATATGTAATCAGTATAAAAATGAAACAAAACTTTTTTAAGTTTTAAGCATAAATTAATCAAAGTTAAATAAAATTGAAAATTCACATTCTTGGTTACACTAGCCTCATCTCGAGTGCTCAGTCGCCTTGTGTGGCTAGTGGTGGCCCACTTTGATAGTGTGTGTTTAGAGAATTTATACTGAATGTAATTATATATAATGTTAAATTTAAATCTACCCCTGTTCCTGTGGGGGGGTTGGACTGGGTTTAAGGTATTGGTCACCTTTAGATCAGGATGGATGTCAAAGTCCTCCTAAGGCGGTGCCGGTAGTGGTCGAGGGGTTTCTCAGTGCTCTAGTTGGAGCCTCAGTGTTCAGCAAGCCCTGGACACCTGCCGCACAGAAGGGCTCCCTGGGGTGTCCCTCCCTTAACAATGCACTGCAGCTGCTTTTTACTACTGCTAAGATTTTGCTGGGGACAGGGGAGGTTTTGGTTTTCCTGGTCCAGCCTCAGGCTTAGGCAGACCCCGTGATTCTAAGTGAGGCGTTTTTAGAATTCCTACCCCTCATTATAAACTGACAGCCAAAGTCTGCCTTAAATGTGTAGAAGGTGTTCAGTTTGGGAGCTTCCTACCCTTCCCCGGCAGTAGCACGTAGTAGCAGAACTCTAACGTTTGTATCAGTGCGCAACCAATGGGTTCAAGAGAGTTTCTGCCCCTCTACCCGGAACTGCCGTCTTTTACTTACACCTGTCCCCAGAAGTGGGGTATCTTTGCCTGAAAACTGGGAAGGAAAGACTTTGCTGCCCCTCCGCAATGCCTTATGCCTTCTGCTTCGTGTTCGAGAAAGGTCCTGGGAATTAAATAAGGTTTCTCCATGATCTGTTGGTGGTTCCAGATATCATCTGCTTGCCTGGGACCCAGAGGGTGGCCCTCACCCTCAGGATTTCTCATTTCACTTAGAAAGACCCATAAAAAGAGCTGGAGAGAGGCTGTGGACTCAACGGCGCCTGGAACTCCAAGCCCTTGTACACCAGTGCTGCTCCAGTACTTTTGAGTCATGGGAATGTTCTCTATCTTCATGATCCAGTACAGCAGTCACTAAATTTTAATTTTATTTCATTCTGATTGATTCATTCATAAGTGAAATTTAAATAGCCACAGGTGGCCAGTAACTAACTTGCTGGACAGAACCATTCTAAACTGTCATTTAGAACCTACTCATCCTCATGAATTCATTGAAACCTTAGTTGCTTTCTTCTTTCCTGTTTTAACTTTTCCTACTATGCTCCACTAAGGAAAACATTTTGTCCCTTCTGTCCTCAGAGGAGCTTGTCACTCTTTGGAATTTACTTCATTTGGTTGTCTTGCAATCTCACCTCTCTGATAGACGCTAGAAAAATTATGATCTCATAAATTATTTGTCTTTTTCTTCTTGTTGTTGGGTGTCGGGAAATGAGATTGACTTTCTGCTTTCTGTATGTATGCTAAGTGGAAGAGGAAATTGGCATTGATCTAAAAAGTAAAAATGAATATGGTTTATTGTTTCTCCTCTTCAGTTCCATTTTTAAAGGCCGAATTATGTCATCTCAGATTTCAAAAGGGATACTTGGTTGGGAATATAAAAACTGTGTGTTAATGCACAAATATTTCTATGACATTAGGCATAAGGTAACATTTGGGGTTCAGCTTTCTCTTAAAAAAAAGAATTCAAATGCATGTTGACTAATATTACTTTTGAACTCTAAAATTATCATTACTTGTTAGTTAATGATGTAACCTTGCCATTGTTATTTTTCTAACAGGAAGTTTTCCTTAAAAGTTTAGGAAACCTTTGTAGTATCGACTCACAGAGTTCACACATTGCTCTTGAGAATAAAAGGGTACCTTTGTTGCAGTCATTTACTGTGTGTTAGAGCCTTGTCTTGATGTAATGAGCAACGGGAAAGCAATTGGCCCTGCAGCAGTCCTTTGATATTTCTCTGTGATTGTTCTGAGTCTGGTGCTCTCAAAGAAAGCAGAGGAACATGGCAAAGAATATGTTTAGCACAAACACAATGTTTGGTCAGTTTAAAAGCGTTTCGTAATCCTTAGGCTCTGACATGTGATTAATATTTAATTGATTGAGAACCTTCAGTATATTGTGTGCACTTTAGAGAGGAGATCTGATGTCTTGGAAGATGAAATGATACATAAAAACAATCGGTCAGAGATTCGGGGGATATTATGTACATACAGGTACCTTCTCAGTTCGTAGTCCTGGACAGAGTGGTGGCAAACACTCAGAGCACGTGCAGAAACACTCCACAAACATACAGTTCTACAAAAATCCATCTGCTCCAAATAAAAATAATAATTTATGAGTTTCTTTCTTATTTATTTTTTAAATTCTCTATGCCATGTTTAGGTGCCAGAGAAATAAAGATCAATAAAAATACCCACACTCAAAGATGGTATACTAACGTGGAAAAGACACATCAACCATTACAAGATATGATAAATGTCCTACAAGAATTATGTAAGAGAGCGTGCCTAGCCTTCCTGGGGAACATTGGGAAGATCCCACAGGAAAAAAACAATAGTTTAAAAATTGATGAAAAGTTGCCAAATTAATAAAGAATGTGAACTATTACAATCAGAGTCAAAGGGAAGCATATGTCAAAGAATGGAGGCATGCACCGGGTGGTACATTTGTGAACTGGAAAGAGTTAAGATTGCAAGTTTCATGCTTCCAGAAAATAGCAGGAAAGGTGGCTAGGAACACTGGGAAGAGCGTAGAATACTTTGCAAAAGAGTTTAATCTAGAAGTCATGAGGAAGGATACCAGATCTTCTACAAAGAAATGACCTAATATGACGATAGGACTGGGGGAAATTTTATGCTAGCAATAGAGCAACACACCACAGGCCCCTGCATCCTGCATTGGAATGGACAGATTACCAAGAAGGTGTTTTGAGCAGTGGTTCAAAGACTAAAACTGAGAGCCAAGGAGATCTGGAAACAATAACATAGCCCTAGGCAGATTATTACTTTCTCTATCTTAGTTTTCCAATCCACAATCTACTCCAGGGTTAGAAAACTCCTGTAAAGGCCTAGATGATAAACATTTGATACCATGTGGGCCATCCAGTCTGTATTGCTACTACCCAGCCCTGCTGTTGCAGCATAAAAGCTGCCACAACAGTCATAGACAGGCAAGCATGGCTGTGTTCTCAACTATGAAGACACCAACATTTGAATTTCATGTAATTATTTCATGTGTCATGCAATGTTATTCTTCTGTCCATTTTTGTCAACCACTGGAAAATGTAAAAGCCATTCTTAGCTCGCAAGTCATAGAAAAGCAAGGCCAGAGTTGGTTTGCAGGCTGTAGTTTGCTGATCCGGTAAGAGGGTGCTATGAAATAATGTAAATATTTTTATAATGTAAAACATTAAAATGAAATTCTTAACAAAGTGTGTAGCACCTAGTATAAAATCAATAAATATAAGCAATTTCAATGGCATTAAATAGAAAATTACTCAGGAGAGGGGTGGGAGAAAAAGAGAATCAAAACAGGTAGGGCTGGGCCCTAGTTGGTTTGGCTCAGTGGTTGGAGTCAAACCAAAGAGTCACAGGTTCGATTCCGGTCAAGGGCACGTACCTTGGTTGCAATTTGGTTCCTGGCCCTGGTTGGAGTCATGCAGGAGGTGACCGATCGATGTGTCTCTCTTGCATTGATGTTCCCTTCTCTCTCTTTCTCTCTCCCTCCCACTCTGTCTGAAAATAAAATGGAAACATATCCTTGGGCGAGGATTTAATAAAACAAACAAAAAACAGGTAGGGCTGGGAAAAGTCAGAGAGGTGGAGGTGACTGGTTTAAGACTGATTTTGACAAAAGTGAAGAGTATCACGTAGTCTCCAGGTATTCGAAGTTTTAAGCAGAAACAAGTAAGAGCAATCAAGGTGAGATTACAGGCAGGAAGAATTATTTAGAAAGCTGTTGAAATAGGCCATGGAAGAAATGAAGACTTGAACTAAGGTGGTGGGTTTGATAGTAACCACCCTCTTGAACCATGAGGGGCTGCTGCTGGGATATAGCTGAAGCTTCAAGTCAGCTCTCAGATCATCATCTAAACAACAAGGCAGGAGCTCTGGTTTGGGACCCAGGATAAATCTCTACTCCTGCAGTCAGAGAGGTGAGGGCCTAAACCCAGGTTCCTCTCCCTCAGAGGGACTATGTCAGAAGGGACACATTCTTAGGCTGCTTACATCAAAAGCAAAGGTTACTGATCAATGGCCCAACAGCTTCTTTAGTTTTAGTCCATCAGAACAGAGCAATCTCAGAAAGAAGCATCTCTTGGCACTTAGCAGTGGGTAACAAGTAGAGGGCTGCCTCTGCTCTCTCCAAACTGTTTCTTCATCTTGCTCTTCTTTTATGTCCTGTCTGAGATAGTCACATCCAGAACTTCTATTTTATTTATTTTTTATTGAATTTATTGGAGTGATATTGGTAATAAAATTGTATAGGTTTCAGCTATCAATTCTATAATACATCATCTGTATATTGTATTGTGTGTTTATCACCCAAGTCGTCTTCTTTCACCATTTATCTCCCCTTTACCCTCTTCTACTACCCCCCCTTTCCTCTCTGGCAATCACCATACTAATGTCTGGGTCCATAAGTCTTTCTTTTCACAACTTTTAAAAACTTCCTATTCACAATCTATTATGAATGGTTCAAAGGTATTTGAAGAACGTCAAATAATCTTCAACTTGAACATTAGCTTTCATTATGTGGGACACCTAATAAAGAAACATATTGTTAGAGAATGCATTTGAGTTCTATTGAAAACAGTAATTCTTGGATTGAATATGGCTCAGTAATGCCTGGGCTTGGACCTCAGAAAATACAGCTGACCTGAGTCACTTATGCTGAAGCTGAGGGAAGTATAAGAAGCAAACATGTAAGTGGGCATTTTAAAATTCTTAGTTTAAAATTTAAGTAGCTTGCAGCAGCAAAACAGATCACAAAATAAAATATCTGTGCTCTAATCCTCATGTACATCTTGAGTTTCAAAGTTTGGGTCTGCTTTGACGTGCAGACTCTGTATCTCGGGGCATGAAAGACTGAGTGGACCGCTAACTTCTCTGTTCAGCAGACAGACCTGAGGGTGAGGGACTGCTCTGCAGCAGAGGAGGGCTCTGCTCTGTGCTGGCTTTGTGCTGAGTTTTCATCTTGTTTCTCTTAGATGCAGAGCCAATAGCTGGGTTTGGTAGATGCCCTGAGTTAGTAATTAGACTGGGTGGAAAAAAAAGACTTTCAGATGATTCAAAAGTTCTTTGAGATTAATCAAAGAGAAATAGTCCACAAGGGGGAGGGTGTTTGTTTGTTTATGTGACACATAAGTCAGTTCACTCTATATCAGGATGGAGGCAAAGATAAACTAGAAACATTTTAACAGAGAGTATAACACATAGTCTACGAGACATAATCACAATACATGCTGCAATCTAAAGGCCTCCCTAATTTTTTGTAGATGTTGGCTTTTTTTTTTTTTTTTTAAGAAAATTCCAAGGAAAATCATGTAACTTCAATTTTCCCTGGATCTCTTTAATCAAAAGCAAAAACAAAAATAGGTTAAGATCTTGAGTAATAAAAGGAAGGTTATTTAGCTACATACTGAGGCAAAGTTTGTACTTGATAATTATTTGTGGAATAAACTAAGTCATATTTTGGTTTCCTATGTTATTTAAACGGAAATTTTAAATTAAAACTAAGGCTACTTCTTTTTTTTTGTTCAGATAGAGTAGGAGGGAGAGAGAGAGAAATATCAGCTTGAAAAGGACACATTGAGTGGCTGCCACCCACACAACCCAACCAGGGCGGAACCCGGGTCTCTCTGGACTGCAAGCCGACGCTCTAACTGCTGAGCAAAACCGGCAAGGGCTAAGGCTACTACTTAGTCTATAGCTGATGTCCAAAATTCCTCTCTATTCTAAAACTTTAAATTGAAGTATTTTTTTTCTATAATACTATAGTTGACTGCAAACCAAATTATTTCAAAAATTTTCTTGAATAGCCAGGCCAGTGTGGCTAGTGATTGAGCATCGACCCATGCACCAAGAGGTTGCTGGTTTGATTCCCAGTCAGGGCACATGCCCAGGTTGTGGCCCAGTCCCCAGTGTGTGTGTGTGGGGGGGGGGGGGCATGCAGGAGGCGACCAATTGATGTTCTCTCTCATCAGTGTTTCTATCTCTCTCTCCCTATTCCTTCCTCTCTCTCTCTAAAATCAATAAGGAAAAATTTTTTTTTAATTTTCTTGAATAAAATAAATGTGAGTAAAAATCATCCCATGGTTCCTTTAGAAGTGTGGGGGAACTCTTATTTTGCAAGTCTTTCGCTAAAGGGTGGGATGCGGAGGAAGGACAGACATACTTCAATCACAGGTTTGTCTGTTTTTCATCTTTATTGTTGAAAGTATTACAGATGCCCCCCTTTTTTTCTCCCATTTTAAAAATTTTGTAATAAATTAACATCTCAAGCAAAATAGGAATCAACATTTTTGAAACTTCCATAGAAAGAGTAGTTTGATAAACATCAGAAACTCTAATTCTCACAACACAGGATGGTTTACAATCTTATACTGAATATAAAAAGATAACTACTAAGTTTATACAAAGAAATAAATGATCACATAGCATTTATCCTTGGTCAGAGCCAAATGTATTTTCTGTTACTGGTCTGTTATTAATGTAAAATGTTATTGGCTTGGGTACAGATTCTGCCACATACTTGTTAAATTATCTTTGACAAGTAATTTGAAGTCTCTGAGTCATCATTAGTTTTATCTGTTGTGTTGTGAAAGGTCAATGAAAAAATAAATATAAAAGTTCTTTGAAAAGCCGGAAACACCATCTCAAATGAACCTTATTAATTACTGCTAAGGAGAACACTCAAGTCATAAGTACTGAGGAATTTCACACTCACAGATGATAAAAAATGTGTGTAAAGCTTGGACAGGTGTACTCCTTGGTGCTTCCAAGTGCAGATAACGGCCTTCTCCCTTTTGCCCCATTCCCTTTCTTCATTTACTTTTTTCCTGCAGAACCTCTACCTGTAACCAGTGTTTCAATATATGACTATAAACCCTCACCTGAAACAGGAGTTCTGTTTGAAATTCATTATCCAGAAAAATATAATGTTTTCACAAGAGTAAACATAAGCTATTGGGAAGGTAAAGACTTCCGGACAATGTTATATAAAGGTAAGAACCAAAAGGAAGATTGAATCAATGATGAGTAATTATTACTTTTCTACATGAGTTTTGCCAAATGGTGTCCACTCTTGCTTTAAAGAGGTTTGATAATTTACTATTTGACCATAAATAAATGATTACAAAACACTTATTGATTCATGGCAATCTTGTTATGAGGAGTCTTAGAATACCTGGTTCATTAGAGTCATGCGCCATGCATAAACATAAGAAATACTCAAATGACTGTCACTTACATGTTATTTTCGCCAAAGGTCACATGTCTGGTACAGGAAATAAATTCAAATTTTGGAAACACCTCACCTAACTGTTTCCTTCTAGGTGTGTTAGAAAGGCGTTTCTAGAATGGGAAGATAGAGAGATGCCTAGCACAAATTTCTTCTTGGACATGGTCCACGTTTATTCTCAAGTGCAAGAGAGAATGCTTTTTTGTTCCTTTGTATATTTATCTGTATGATAAGCTCAATGCATTAATATATGCAAATTAATTTCACTGTGCTTACTGGCTCGATTGGGAAACTGTGGAGAGAAGAGAGCCCAGGAGAATTAGTAATTTCGAAGAACCAAGCCCAGTTCTCTGAGTAGACTGTGGTGGCCTGGGGGATGGAGGAGAAGGGTGCAGAGGGAGAGAGAGAGGAGAGAGGGCATTCAGCTCCGTTTGGGGGTGAATTGAAGTGGAGGAACTTCAATACTCTCAGAACACAAGGCCATAACATTTCTCTGCAGGGGGCTTCAATGATGGTGTCAAAACTGACGGTTGGAACTGGAAACAGCATTGGTGAAGTGGGGAATGACTATTGAAGCACATAGGGCGTATGGGATTCAGAAAAATATCACTTTGACTTGCTGCTTCCACAAAATCCTTTCTACCATAGATTTTTTTTCTCTTTTCTAGTGAGACACTGTTTAAAGGATATGCGGTACATTTTACAGGGTTTTATTTTTACTTTTAAATATTTAAATAAACATAAACACAGACTCCACAAATTATTTCATTCTTTATTTTCAATGAAAATAGATTATCTGCAAAATAAGTGAGGCTTTATTTGTTTATTATGACACACAATTACAAGTTCATGAATGGTTGAAAAGCAATCACTGGAACATTTGCTGAGCTAAAAGCCATGACTTCAAAAATAAGTGAATAGCCCTGGCAGGTTTGGCTCAGTGGTTAAAGCGTCGGCTTGTAGACCAGAGAGTCCTGGGTTCGGTTCCCCCTAAGGGCATGTACCTCGGTTGCAGTTTGTCCCCGGCCCCGGCTGGGGTTGTGTGGGTGGCAGCCACTTGATGTGTCTCTCTCATATCGATGTTTCTCTCTCTTCCTCCCTCTCTCCCTCCCACTCTATCTGAAGATAAATGAAAAATGTCCTCGGGTAAAATAATATATATATATATATATATATATATATATATATATGAATATGCTCTCTTTTTTCAATTAATTTTTAAAATTACATTTGGCTTTTAATTTCATAAGTGGTACTTTCATTTCTTTCTCACTTGAATTAGATTTTTAAACTTATTATTTTCTTTAATGTTTTTCAGATGAACTCCAGACTTTTATTTTCTTCCTTTTTGAGCAGGTTCTGTCTGCAACTGTCAGATAAAACTATTCTACTTTTAAAATAGACTAGTTTGTCTGGCTGGTGTGGCTCAATGGATTGAGCATCATCCCATGGACTGAGAGGTCCTGGTTCCCAGTCAGGGCACATGCCTGGGTCATGGGCTCAATCCCCAGTGTGGGGCATGCAAGAGGCAGCCAGTTGATGTTTCTCTCTGACATTAATGTTTTTATCTCCCTCTACCTAAAAAGAGAAATAAATAAAAGCATATTTATAAATAAATAAATAAAATAAAATAGACTAGATTTTTTTGCCCAGCCAGTGTGGCCCAATGGTTGAGCATTGACCTATGCACCAAGAGGTCGCTGGTTTGATTCCCGGTCAGGGCACATGACCAGGTTGTGGGTCAAATCCCCAGTAGGGGGCATGCAGGAGGTAGCCAATCGATGTTCTCTTTCATCAATGTTTCTATCTCTCTCTCCATTTTCCTTTCCTCTCTCTAAAATCAATAAAGAAAAAAACAGTTTTTAAATAAAACAGACTAATTTTTGCTAGTGAACCTAAAGGAAATATTTCTTGTAAACTTACTTTTTTCTAAGTCATAAAGTGGCAAAATACCTTGGATAAAGTAAAGTACAGTAAATTTATCTTAAAGTAAATGGCTAACGTAAATCTAACCTCTACAGTTTCTATACATGTTCTTCACTTAATAAACCAAATGCTCCTGTAATCAAAATTTGACTCCAAATATATCTAATTCTTGCAGAAAAAGCTTTTCAGGACTGAGTCTAAAAATTCAATTTTTCATCTTTAACCTTATGCCAAAGTTTTACTACTCTCCATGCCAAAAGTGGAAGGAAATATTATTTATTGATATTTAATCATATTGGTAAGAACTTCCTAAAATTGTGTGTCATTTAGATCAATATTTTAACATAATTGATTTTTTCTCTTCTCAGATTTCTTTAAGGGAAAAACAGTATTTAATCACTGGCTACCAGGAATATGTTATAGCAATATCACCTTTCAGCTGGTATCTGAGGCAACTTTTAATAAAACGACTCTTGTGGAGTACAGTGGAGTTAGTCATGAACCCAAACAGCATAGAACCGGTAAGTATTCTGAAAAATTGTATTTAGTGAAAAAAATTTAATTACATTGTAGATTATATGCATAGTTTTTTTATCATTCTAAGAAAAATTCTGTTTCAGAGCTAAGGAAGAAAATATATATATTTGCAATAATCTAAAACAAATTATCAGTGTAAAAGGCAATTAGCAAAATATTTAATAAGGAGACTCTAAAATATGTCAATATAATAATAGATTTGTAATCTTTGAATAAAAAAAGTACATGATCCTACCAAAAGTTAGAATTAAATAACTGGATCAAGTAGATATCACCTATTCTATATGCCCATATAGCTGAAAAATAGATGGATAATGTTTGAGTACTGATTTTTAGATTATTAGAGGAGAATGCTGGGATTCAGATGTATCTCAAATTTGCAGTTCTTAATTTTAGTAGTGTAACTAATATAAAACACTGTTATAGGGTGGATGGAAGGGTGATGGATGGATGGATGAATAGATGGGTAAAACAAACATACACTTACTAAGTATCCATTACTAATACCAATATCAGTGTCTAATATAATTAGAAAATGTAATTTTCTGTGCCTCGTGGGCCTAAGTACTCAACAGGATGCTGGGGAGGCCATCATATGAACATTGGGAATGGCTTATATGAGACCACCCCTGAGACCCTTCCAATCTCAAATTCTAAGTTGTCACGATTCTCATTAATTAGGCCAAGACAAGCAAACTATGTAATTCACCTCCTGTCAACATCTAAGATTATATTTGTATTTTTCATTATTCTTTATTAAAATTTTGTTTTATTTTTCCCATCACCATTTATCCCCTCTTTGCCCGCTTCTCCCTCTCCCTCCCAATCACCACACTGTTGTCCATGTCCATGAGTTCTTTCTCTTTTTTGCTCAACCCCTCCACACACCCCCAACATTCCCCCCTCCACCCACCACCACCATACACACCCCCCAGAGCTGTCTGCCTGGAGTTGTTCTAAGTACTGAGAGGAAGACAGAGACTGGTGGGAAAGGGTCCCTGTTCTCAAAAATGGTAGACGTTCTACACAAATGGCAACACTATAAGGCAGAATACAATGAATGTTATTAAAAAAAAAAAAAAAAAGGTACAAAGTTATATAACAACCCAAAGGAGGGAGAGATTCATTTTTATTAGAAGTTCATGGAAGAGGAGATATTTGAGCTGCCTTTTGAAGAATATGTGGAAATTATTGTAGGTAAAGACCATGCAATGCACCTTCATAGTTTTCTACCTCTAGAAAAGTATGCCTCCGTAATTCATAAACTCATTTTGTACTCAGGTGTTTTATTTTAGACAGGTGAAGAGTACAGCCATATTTCCACCATGTGTATTAATGTTTCTAAAGGCATCTCATATATGCAACCCACCCAAGTGTAGCTATGTCACAGGAGTGTTTTTGTCTTGATAGCTATAAGGACACTAGATATAGTTACTTTTTTTGTAAGAAAGATCCAGTGACAGACACTCGGTTTTTTAAAATAGGAGATTATGATAAACTGAAAAATATTGACATAACTATCTCTGTCTTGAAAGTGGTCAAATTACCATTTGGACAAGCATAGTACCACAAGTTAAAGTAGATCAAGTGTGACTAGTGGTACACTAACGTGTAGACATCACTCACAACATCTTAGATGTACATGTACTGGAAACTACAACTGTTTTTGATATAAGTTAGAACATAGAAATATAAAAGTCAAACCAAACTCTATTTTGTAAATCTGCTTGTGTATCTCATTAATAGATTAAGCATTCACTTTAATAGAACTTAAATGTTACTTGAAATTAAGCATTCTTTCTCTTACAGCCCCTTATCCACCTCGAAACATTTCAGTGCGTATTATAAACTCGAACAAAAACAATTGGGAAGAACAGAGTGGCAGTTTCCCAGAGGAATCGTTCATGAGATCACAAGATACAATGGAAAAAGACAAACTCTTCCATTTTATGGATGAAACTCCTGAAATTCCCTCTGGCAACATTTCTTCTGGTTGGCCCGATTTGAACAGCAGTGACTACGAGACCACATCCCAGCCATATTGGTGGGACAGAGCGTCAGCAACTCCTGAACGTGAAGATGAATTTGACAGTGTACTCTCCCTGGGAAGTGACAGTAACAGCACTCTCAGTGAGACTGAGCCGACGTCAGGCTCTTTCTCATTCTTCCCTGTGCAACTGATACTGAGTTGGTTACCGCCAAAGCCACCCACTGCCTTTGATGGGTTCCATATCCACATGGAAAGAGAAGGTAAAGCAATGGGTCATCAGAGGGACTAGGAAATAATACAATCAAAGGAAAGGAAATGGAAACATTTTAAAATTTACGTTTAGGAAAAAGACTGATGGGAGACAGTTAATAGCTAAAGAGAAATGACCCAGAAAGGGAGAAATGTAATGAAGTACCCAATGAGAGCTGAGACTAGGAAACAAAACGAGCACATCGGATGAGAAGCTGCAGGCTTGGTTAGTTCATAGTTGCAAGTACTGGCAACTACACATTCCATTGCTCAACATTTCCTGAACCCCAGGCGACTGAGGAAGACTTTATACTGGGAAAGATTTTGAACTAAAGGTCTAACCATCATCACAAATTACACAATATTCTGGAGAAATGTTTTGTTTTCATTAAAACATACAGCGACACAGCATAATCTTTCTGACAAAATGACTGCTTTCCCAAAAGTCGCGAGCCTGTGTCCTGCTCATCGAGCTATTCTGACCTCCCTGGGGTGTGCTCTTCCTGAAGCAGAGCCACTTATATTTTCCCAAAGAGGAGCTGGTAGTAAAACAGAACATACACAGCAACTGGTACTTCCACTGTAGCTACTGTATTATAAATTGTATCCACTTATCCAGCATCTGAGAGCCATTCTTTATATTTTAGCCCACTCATTTATAAAAAGCAAAGCTATGGCATTCAGTAAATGTGGGTCATGAATAATATCTAAATTGTTGTTTGGTAGATTTTTACAGTTATTTGTTGTCTGTCTTGTTTTTATAATAACATACTTCATTTTATACTTTCCAGTATAGTAGTTTGGTGGTAAAGGTTGCCAAAATTTGAACTTACAATGACAACTTTATTTTCAGGGTAGGGCATCAGGGTCATGTAGTTCCTTACATAACATATTGTTTGCTCCTATTTTATTCAGTAGAATGAGATACAAGTTCTGTGGATGGATCCCTCTATACTAGATGATAGAACAGTAAGCCATACCCAAATATTATATAAAATTGCAATCCTTAGTCATTTCCAATTAGTTGTAACATTTGCCTGACATTACATGTATTAAAAAAAGAGTTTCCTATTCTGGCTTTTATTTTTCTGTCTCTCAATATAGTGTATGGAAAATAGGATCTTGTAACTCAAAAAAATGTTTAATGCCTATTTCTGTGAAGGTTCAAACATGCTTTTATCTGACTGCACTGTGTACTGTTGAAAGCTGTTATAATCACCTACTGACGATAACAACTTCAAATGAAGTAATAAGAGCAAGAAATGGACTTTGAAGCAATATAAAAATTACTTTTACTTTTAAAATTTCTGGAAGCAAACAGATAAAAGAAAAATATTACAAGTGTCAGAAAATATATCCAGAGGAATTATTTATTTATAACTAGAAATAACTTAATATATTTTAAGGCATTTCTGGATATTTAATGCTACCACGAGGAACTTATAGGATTTTTGTCACTGATTATTTTTTATCCTTTATTGAGATGAGAAAGTCAGTCATTGCTATCTTCCAAAATTCTACTTTTATTTTGTGTGTGTGATTTTGTTGGGTAATGTACATACGAATACACAGTATATACTCACCCTCATCTTATTGATTTAGACACTATATTTTAGTTTGGTTATTTAAAAGTATTGTGAAAATCAACTTGAACCCTTAGTTATCTTTTATTTATAGTACCTTTGGCTTAGAGGTATAATTGAATTTGACAAAAGGAAAGAGACAATATAGAAATATATTTTTAGCCCTGGCCAGTTTGGCTCAGTAGTTAGAGCATCGGCCTGTGGACCGGAGAGACCCAGGTTCGGTTCCTGCTAAGGGCACGTACCTCGGTTGCAGTTTGTCCCCGGCCCCGGTTGGGGTCGTGTGGATAGCAACCAGTCAATGTGCCTCTCTCACATCAATGTTTCTCTCTCTTCCTTTTTCCCTCTTTCTCTCCTGCTCTATCTGAAGATAAATGCAAAAATGCCCTCAGGTGAAGATAAAATATATATATTTTTAATTATTTATTTATTTAATACTTAATTGATTAATATTTTTTATTACAGATGTCCCTCCTTTTTCCCCCTTTGACACCATCCTTAAACATACATTTTTAATTAATTGACTTGTCTATAGTTGAGGCCTTGCCAGTTATCAATTTATATATATTCTCTTTTTATGCATGCTTTAGAAAACTTTACAGAACATTTGACAGTGGCTGAAGAAGCACATGAATTCGTCACAGAACTGAAGGAGCCTGGGAAATATAAGTTATCTGTGACGACCTTCAGTTCCTCAGGATCCTGTGAAACTCGAAAAAGTCAGTCAGCAAAATCCCTCAGTTTCTACATCAGTAAGTACCAAAGAGACCGTTCTGCTCTTCTAGGGGAGCTGGAATAATGGAACCAGTGTGGGTGATGCTCAGGCATCCATCATGCATCTCACCTTAGAGGCCCCAAGAATCCTTCACGGCCAGGACAGTCCCAAATCCATGACATTTTGAGAGCAGAAGAAATCTATGTATGTTTAATAGTCACAAACCTACTCATTTGATACAAGACTTTTTTTTGTTATTGTGATAACTGCACATTTATTAAGCTGACCTCTCACAGTAGCCACAACAAACTCTCAAAGGACATGAACACACAGTTTGGGAAATAGGAATTTTGCTTAAGGCTGTAATAAAAACTGATTGTTGGGATTTGTGAAAAGGTCTCATTAGGGTATTGAGCTCATAGAGCTCAAAAGAAAGACAAAGGTTAAAGTTTAATAGGACCTACGTGGTCACCATAACATTGGCACAAGAAGACAAAACTAGAGCATCCTCAAAGGCCCAGTGTCAAGTCTTAGGACGGCTTCTACTGATTCCCCGAACAGTGATAGCAGAGCAAAGAGTAGCCTCTAAAAATTGCACAGATAGTGCTTCTCTGTAACGTCTTTAGCAAATCTGACTTATGTTCACCAGAAATTTAGAGGCTGAGAATCAGGGACATAGCTCGTCAGGAGCTGGATGGGCCTCTGATCAGCAGAAAGAGAAAACAAAAGGGGATGGGTAAAAATTGCTCCCCGAAAAGCATGACCACCATACACTTTATCACCATTTGCAAAGATGAAATACCACCATTCATCAAATAATCCTCAAGGAGGTGGGCAGGAGAAAGAGGAGGAAGGCAAAGGGAAGAAATTGGTTTGTTTAGCAGCTTGAAAATGCCCATATAACCTTTTTACTTAAGAAACTGTAAAAATGTCCCTGGATGGTGTGGCTCAGTGGATTGAGCATTATCCCATGGACTGAGAGGTCCCGGTTCAATTTCTGGTTAGGGCATTTGCCTGGGTTTCGGGCTCAGTCCTCAGTAGAAGACTTGCAAGAGGCAGCTGATCGATGTTTCTATCTCTCTCTTTCTCTAAACAATCAATAAAAACATTTTTGAAAAAAAAAACCACAGCCCTGGCTGGGTTGGCTCAGCAGTTAGAGCATCAGCCTGCGGTCCAGAGAGACCTGGGTTCAGTTCCTGCTAAGGGCACGTACCTTGGTTGCAGTTTGTCCGCGGCCCGGTTGGGGTCATGTGGGTGGCAACCACTGGATGTGTCTTTCTCACATCGATGTTTCTCTCTCTCTCTTCCTCCCTCTCTTTCCCCCACTCTATCTGAAGATGAATGCAAAAGTGTCCATGGGTGAGGATTTAAAAAAAAAAAAAAGGAAGAAAAGGAAAAAGAAATCACAAATGTCACCACTGATAGAAGGCCCGAAAGAGCCGCTAGGAACAGAAGGAATAGTCGAATAGTCATAATTGCCTGCGTGTCGTCCAGTGATGGGAGATCTGTGATGCGATATCCCTTGAGAATGAGAACAAAGTTCATTATTCACTTCTTCACATGAGGCTAAAAATGTCTCCTTAATCGAACGATTTCCTTATCTGCTCACAGAGACCCCTGCAAGTGTTAACTGTTCGAGGAAACCTCCCTCAACCGTTCTGGCTTCTCCCTCCTCTGAGTTGCTGCTGTCTCATAGCACACAGCAGAGAGCACAGAGCGTACATGTGTCGTACTTCCCTAGGTGTATTTTATTTATGTACATCTTGCTTCTAGCACCAAATTATAAAATCCTAGCCTGGGATTATACTGTTTGCATATATATTAATTCTGCTGCACATTCAACAACTATTTATTGAACCACTGCATGAGTTTGGGAACCAGACTTTCTGGGGGTGAATTCCCGCATACACCCTCCCTCTGCCTTAATTACCTCATCTGAAAGTGAAAGTAATACCAGTAATTATATCACAGGTTTGTGATGGAAATAGGAATTAAATATATAGACACATATAGACTTAAAGCAGAGCCTCGTATGGAATGAATGCTAGATCTCTTTGCCACCATTATTATTATTGTTTTCATTGTTGTTACTTCCCCTGCCCAGTTCCGTGAGCCTGAGACTGCCGCCCCCAGCACAGCCACTCACTGCTCTTCCTGTACTGGGTTCGAGCCTGGGAATACAGCTCTCTGTTAAGGAACAGAGAAGTGTGTGCTAAGCAAGTAAAAAGAAGTTGCACATTTGAATTGTAACGGGGAATTTCTGTAGATGATGAGAATCACCTACACATGTCCGGAGTCCTTCCTATGGTCAGGCCCTGTGCTAATAACCCCCTTAGAAGTCTGAGAGGACAAAGCTAAGGGGGCTCTTCTATGGACATAGTTTGTCAAATGATCACCCAGGTTTTCCCCAGCCTCTGTCACGGAGCCAACCTTTGCCCATTTCTTCTCTAATGTAGTCACACTCCGCCCCTTCCATCCTGCCATTTACCAAACTCAGATTTTTTCCACACAACCATAGGAGAAGAAGCTGGTTTAAATCTCAAAGTCATTATTTCTAGAGACCAGAGATCCTAGCGGCAAAGAAACGGTACCCACTGGTGACATGTCACACTGCTAGACCCACTCTTTGTTAAAAGAGAAGCAAATGCTCTCTGGTGGAGAATTTTCCAGAGTAACCTCAGATGTACGTTACAATGGAATGGCCCTTCTGTCCCTCGGTAGAGCTGACTTGCTGCTGCTGCGGTTCTTTGTCAGGGATGAGAGCAGGGCTGTAGCTGGGCAGACGATGGCAAGAGCAGGCAGGCTGCCCATCTTACTTTGAATATCTTGGCTAGGGCAACATGATTTCTAAAAGTACAGCCCTTTACGCCAACCGTCTCAGCATGAAACGTCCCTGTGCTCTCCTTTGAAATGCTCAGGTCCTTCGGGAGAGTGGATTGAAGAGCTCACTGAGAAGCCCCAGCACGTCACTGTCCATGTTTTAAGCTCGACCACTGCCTTGATGTCCTGGACGTCTTCTCAAGAGAACTACAATGGCACCATTGTGTCTGTGGTGTCCCTCACCTGCCAGAAACAAAAGGAGAGCCAGAGGCTAGAAAAACAGTACTGCACTCAGGTAAAGGAAGGGATCCACCGTTGGGCCCACTCACCTCCTGCAGCACAGCCTCGCAGGCCATGCGAGGAGGCCAGGCGCACTCACCTCCTGCAGCACAGCCTCGCAGGCCATGCGAGGAGGCCAGGCGCACTCAGCTCCTGCAGCACAGCCTCGCAGGCCATGCGAGGAGGCCAGGCCCACTCACCTCCTGCAGCACAGCCTCGCAGGCCATGCGAGGAGGCCAGGCGCACTCACCTCCTGCAGCACAGCCTCGCAGGCCATGCGAGGAGGCCAGGCCCACTCACCTCCTGCAGCACAGCCTCGCAGGCCATGCGAGGAGGCCAGGCCCACTCACCTCCTGCAGCACAGCCTCGCAGGCCATGCGAGGAGGCCAGGCCCACTCACCTCCTGCAGCACAGCCTCGCAGGCCATGCGAGGAGGCCAGGCCCACTCAGCTCCTGCAGCACAGCCTCGCAGGCCATGCGAGGAGGCCACTGCAAGAAGCTGCCCTCGGGTGCAGCGAGCCTGGAGAGGAGCCAGGAAATGAGTGTGAGTGGCTCTTTGGTCACAGTCATCTTTCTTTCCCTCTTAGGGTGGCCATCTACCTTTCGCTTTCATTCTTCATTCAAGGGAACTTACTGGGCACCTACGCTGTGCCAGATACTGGGGATCTAGATAAATTTTGTATGTCCTCCTCCTGCAGAGTTTATAATTCAGTGAGAGCAATGGATAAGTGAACATATATTTTATACTGCAGAGTATAAAATAAGGCCTAAGCTAAAAGTAAAAGATCAAGAGGCCATGTGAGTTCACAGAAAGGAGGAACTGGGCGTGAGTAAATATGGATTGGGGCGATAGGATTTGGAAACTGGTGAGAAATTTTTCCCAGGGGAGGACAACCAAGCAGAAGGTTTGGGGAAGTTTTTGTTTGTTTTATTTTTTATTTTTCTTCTCATTTTTTTCTTGTTATATTAACTACAGAAGTAATGCATGTTTATTGAAAAAAATAATTCCAAAAGTAAAAGTATATAAAGGAAAAAATTCAATAATCACAACCAAGAAGAGTTTTGTGGGATGACCAGGAGTTAGTGCGGCACAGGGCAGGTGGAGACAGTGTGCCGATGAGTTGTTCTGGGAGTGGCTACTGGGACGGTGCACACACCCAGCAGGCAGTCCTGAATGAAACCGGGCAGTGCCGCCCAAGACCAGGCCTTCATGTCCAGTGCCCTGACTACCCACCTGAAGAAAGCCTGAAGCCCAGTCCAATTTCCCTAAAACCTGGCTTAATTATTACATTATATTATTTGGTTTTATTATTTTATTAGATCAGATTTACTATTTCTTGCTATCTTACAAATACAATATTTACCTCCCTAAAGGCAAAACAAATACCAATTCATGTGGAGTACACTGGAAATATAATACTCAAAGGAGATATTTGCTATATGAAAGCTATTTGGAAAGTTTTTATTTATGCCACAAAAATAGACATTTAGTGAAATTCCCAGGGGGAGAATTTTCAAATTGATCAGATAAATTCAGGAATTGTGGTCTTTCAAGCATTAAAAAGCCTTAGAGTGCTGAGATAAACCCATACTCAAAGATGAGGCCACCCTTGACTTGAATTAAATTAAGGAGTAAATATGCTAAACCAATTAACTGGTAATCACGGCTCACTGTGCAGCTTATAAACTTCCTTCCCTGAGCATAACGAAGATGATTGACTCTGTGCACTGATAGAAAAGTGTTTTGCTCTTACAGAACGTAACCTAGAACTTGACTGCTCCAAGGTGCATTTCTTCCTTGCCCCCACTAATGTACAAATTAGTATCTTTTACATGGAAGCGAAAGGCTAAAGGTATAGATAGATAGTATACATTACAAATGAGCCAGAAAAGGCTGGAATTGGTGCACTTTGATAATACCATTTTGAAGTTCAAACATGGAACTGTTTAAGATAATAGGCTAGGAGATCAATATTTAAAATGGAGAGTGGCACCCTGGCTGGTTTGGCTCAGCAGTTAAAGTGTCGGCCTCTGGACCAGAGAGACCCGGGTTCGCTTCCCGCTAAGGGCACATATCTTGGTTACAGTTTGTCTCTGGCCCTGGTTGGGTTGTGTGGGTGGCAGCCACTCAATGTGTCCCTTTCACGTCGATGTTTCTCTCTCTCTCTCTCCTTCCCACTCTATCTGAACAAAAAATGGAAAAATGTCCTCTGATGAGGATTAAAAATACATAAATTAATTAATTTTTAAAAAGTCTCAGAAATTGCCCCGCTGGTGTGGCTTAGTGGATTGAGTGCCGTCCATGGACTGAGAGGTCCCAGTTTGATTCCTGGTCAGGGCACTTGCCCTAGGGTTGTGGGCTCTATTCCCACTGGGGGACATGCAGTAGGCAGCCAGTTGATGTTTCTCTCTCACATCAATATTTCTCTCTCACTCTTTCTCTCTAAAAAATCAATAATAACACATTGAAAAACAAAAAGTCTCAGAAACAGACCTATTGTCATGTGGCCACTGATCAAAGGACTTAAGGTGTTCTCACCAGGATCATCTCTGACCTGGGCTTATTTTTAAAGTAATCATTATCCAGAAAGAAAATAATAATAATGATGATGATGATGATAAATTTCTTTAGTTTTTATATTCAGTGGTACTGTGGTTACATTAAATATAAAATTCAAAATACATCTCAAAAATAAGTGTGATTCTAAAGACACACATATTAACAATTAATATAACATTTAACTATTTTATAGTTTCATTCTCCCTATTTTGCCTCTACCATCAACTGTACCACAACATCGTTGCTTTATATCTCATCTAGATCATCCATGAAACCCACCGCTAGTGTCCCTAGTCTTCTTACAATCCACTGGTTTCTGTGGTAGGTGGGTCCTGTGTGAGATGTTAGGAATAAGACAAACTTGACTTGAACCTGAAGTTCACTGAGTTTAGCATCTGGTCTTCCATGTAGGTATATTGTACTCATTAATTTAAATTTGTCCTCATAGTATAAATGTTCTTCATATCTGGTTTTGTTTTGTATATGCATTTGTATGTGACTATTCATGGGAAAGGGAGTTTTGTGATGCATCTCTCCTAACAACAATTTTAGGGCTATTCATTAATAAATACACGTATGTTGAACACAAAGTCATGCTCAGTCAGTGTTATATAAAGAACCCAGTCAATTCTCCTAAGTAAATGTGCTTTGGGCATTTTCTCTGAACACTCACACACGATCGTAAATTTCAGACTCAAGAAGCATCATGTAATATATGTATGTATATTTATTTTTATATGTGATCTGCTGTGGTCCATAAGAGTTTTTTCAACAATTTACAGGAATGTATGCCTAAATGACAAAATCAGAAAACAGACAAATCAGTCTATTGGCTTTATAAATGAAGAAATGGTAGAGCTAAGAGCCCAACTATTTAAGGGACCTGCCTAAAGTTACACAACTGATTGATATTAGAACTGAGACCAGGACTCAGATGATCTGACTTCCAAGTCAATGCTATTTCTGTTGGATTGCATGTGTTTCACTGGGGGAAAGGGGTCACCCTCGCTGCTCTTCTTGACAAAGTCAAAAGTAGTGACTAAAAACATAGACTCCAGTGTCAAACACAGTTGAGTTTCGGACCTGATTTTAATAGTTAGCCTTGAGTCCCTAGGCAACTTTCTTCATTTTTATGTCTTAGGGTCTTAATCTGTAATATAAGGAGAAGCATATCCTCTCTCATAGAATTATAATAACTATCAACGTTTTGATGCTTAATGCAGTGTTTAGAACATGAATGTGCCAGGAATTGTCATATTTTATTATTATACAAACCTAATTGAATGTTTTGGGGTTTTTTTTTAATCAGGGGAGGGAGATGGAGCAATTCTAGGGTTTCTCCTCAGAAAAACCTGAATAATTGTAACAAATGTATAGAAAAGAACTAATAAAATAAGGATTGCATAAAGTAGAAAGAAGACCATTTCAGACTCAAAGGAGTCCTCATTATCATCTACTTCAACCCTGTTATTTAACAGTCAGCAGTCAGATATTCCCTATACTGTCTAGTCCGTCCTTCCTCTTATTTCTTTAGCTGAAGAGGAATGGGACTGGTGACTAGTAGAAGAGACATTGGGCTGAGTGAAATTCTCTGCAACGAAGACTATGCTTGTCAGGAATGGGAAAGAGGACATATTGGAATGAAAAGTTGGGGTGAAAATTGGATGAGGGGGTATGAAATGATCCTCAAAAGAATAAAATACATATCAGTTAGTAAGTAGAATACAGGAACATTTCCCCTTCCCACCTCCAGTCCACCCCCTAGGAGGTCTAGGATAAATGAGAAGAAAGGGATAGATAGAAGTGTAGATATAGGTTGGTAGCTCAACAAATATTCAAAAATTGGGGGGTATTGGTGTTTATGATTTGTTACAAAGTCATTTGCAATATTATTACTCTCCACATTTTTTTAGTATTGTGAGATATAGTGTGTCCTCAAAAAATGTATACACAACTTTGAATAATTATAAAGCCAGTGTTTAATAAAATATATTTCATTTTCAAAATGTAATAGCATCTACAGACACTCTGTATACATTTTTTGGCATATATAAAGACACACACACACACACACACATATTTATATATATTTATATATATATACACACACACACACACACATGCTTTTTATTTTAAAAAATATTACTGTAAGGTGCCCCTCAAACTACTACACTCACATGGTTATTCTCACACTGGTTCTAAGTGCACCAGTGGGCTGGGTGAATCCTTCCAAAGGACTGTAGTCCAATCCAAAAGCATAAGCCTTTTTATGGGTATTTAAGAGTACACACCACCCAGCTGGTGTGGCTCAGTGGTTGAGCATTGACCCATGAACCAAGAGGTCACCGGTTCGATTCCCAGTCAGGGCACAAGCCCATGTTGTGGGCCCAATTCCCAGTGAGGGGCATGCAGGAGGTGGCCAATCGATGTTCTCTCTCATTGATGCTTTCATCTCTCTTTTCCTCTTCCTCCCTCTCTCTCTAACATCGATGAAGAAAAAATAGTTAAAAGAAAAAAAAGAGTACACACCAATAGCCATTAGTTTCCATTAAAAGTTAATAAATTACAAATAATCTTTAAAAGTATAATTTTCCTAGGACAAATTTATTATGATGGCATATTTAAGTGGCTGTCATTCTAGGTACGCTTTTGAATAGCCAGAATTAACTGCTGCCTAAAATGTCATCAAACCAAAGGGACTTTAACATTACCCTGAAACAATCTGTATTCTTCATGTCCTGTGTTATTCTGATATTTTCAACAAGTGATTAATGAGCTAGGTTAACATTACAGATCTGGTAGGATGTCTACAATGTGTTGTGAAGTTGAAAAGAAAATTTTGGACCAATGTTGATAATATAACATCTATATGGTTCAATAACATATTATTTATGGACGAATAAGTCAAGGGAGTTCTGGAAGACTGCCCATCAAGATTTTGGAAATGGTGGGCAGAGGACAGTAATACTTCCAATTCATTATATTTACTCTTCTATGAAGTGAATAATTTTTACAATGAGCAAGTATTCGTTTATGGCTTAAAACGTATTTTAAAGAAATAAAACAGTACTGTTTAGTTGCGTGTAACATACATGTTCTTATTCATAGCTTATCTCTTCAAAAAATGCTCTATCAGATGAAGATATCTAGTTGACTAGCTCTATCTAGATGGCTCCTAGCAGAACTGAACTCTAAAACGTGGGCAAGCAACTCTGATGTAAAAGGAGTGTAAACAGGGAAAGAAAGGTTGGAAATACTAACTTATTAATTCAGTTTAATCTTATTTTGGTCAACTTAATGGACAAGACATTTTGGTACACTGTTCGCCCCACTCATGTGTAGAGCAATTTGTACCAGTTCAAATTACATAATTTCTGTTGTATAGATTCAGTTTCTGGTATCAGAAAGGTTTTACTTCACATAATATCACTAAAAGTATGTTTATTCTTGAAATGGTAATGAGACTTTGAAAAATTATGGCACAGGTAAGCTGTCAACAATATTGTTTTCCATTTATTTATGCATCTTTGCAGCAATTTCACAGTTTAATGTACTCTAGAGGCCAAAAATTGATGAGTAGTAAGAGTCAACTTTTTTTATATTCTGGCTTAAGCACCCTTAGAAATTTATGAGGTACATAACAGTATTATCTATAGTTCATCAATGAGGAAACCAAGGTAAGAACTATTTAAAATAATAAATTATCAATAAATCTCCATCTTTATGAGGGGTAAAGATTTGGTCTCAGGCAGTCTGAATAGAGAACCTGTGTTCTCCCCACTAAGCAAGACTGTCTTAGGATTAAAAGCACTAAAGGTTAAAGCAGCATGCTTCTTAATCATCCATCCCATGCACACCAACATTCAACATTAATGGGTACATTTTATTTATCTATCTGTTCTCACTATTTCTCTTTATATGGCATTTGTTATATAACCAGAAGTTTTTTAAACATCAGTAAAGAAGGGCTCATCTAATGGGAAATGTTCTCAACAACATTATTTCATGGGGTCACAATAGCCTTGCAAAGTGCTTATGGCTGTATCTCAGTGCTCAGCCATAACTTGCCTGTAGTGTGGACTAGAGGTCACACAGGCTAGGCTTCAGGTCTCAACACTGAATCCAAATATGTGACCTTGGCCATTCTCTGGCTTCACTTTCTTGATCTATGGAATGAGAGATTCGGACAATTTCTGAAGTCATTTCCATCTTGATAACTAGATATTATATGCTTCTCAGTGACAAGGGATAAAGGCATTCCTGCATGGATCTTTGTATGTAATTAGTTGACGCTATTTAGGATGTCAGACCATCCTATGTTATTGCAGATTTTATTACAGTGAGAGGCTGATGGCCCTCTTGTGTACATAGTTATAATTGACACTGTTGGGTAGACAGCAATTCACTGGGTGCTTATTACATTCAGCCATAGAATTTGAATGTCTGGGCCCTCTTGGGTGTTCATATAAACTATAAACCACCTTAATTTTAAAATCTGACCTTCCTGGGCATAAGAAACAGATTCTGGATGTCAAAGGCATTCGTGGTTCCGCAAAGAGTCTGAATACAATTTTAGCCTCTGCGTCACATTTTAAAAGCCCAGCTCTAAAAAAATCTTTTTGGGTGTTTGATTCAAAGGTGAACTCAAGCAAATCTATTATTGAAAATCTGGTTCCTGGTGCCCAATACCAGGTTGTGATGTATCTAAAAAAAGGCCCTTTGATTGGACCACCTTCAGATCCTGTAACATTTGCCATTGGTAAGTTGCCAGCTACAAGAATAATAACTTTATCAAAGTATTGTTTGGAGGGGTGCAGTGTCCATGCTCAGGTCATTATCATCATGTATGGGAGGCCCATTGGTGTTCACCCAATATCCTACCTTTAGAGTAATAAACTTACATTTGTATAACTAGAGGAAGTCCTTATTATTTACTATTTGGGGGAAAGGTCAGAGGCAAACATGTTTAGTTTTCAATGATTGTATCAGAAGAGTGAAAACCTTAGTTATGAAATAGAAGGTTGACGCCATTGCTAAGATACTAAACATTCCTTCTTGGCTTTCTGATTTCACTCCCCCTCCTCCTTCTTCTTAGTTCCAACTGGAATAAAGGATTTAATGCTCTACCCCTTGGGTCCTACAGCAGTGGTTTTGAGCTGGACCAGACCTTACTTAGGAGTCTTCAGAAAATATGTGGTTGAAATGTTTTATTTCAACCCTGCAACAATGACATCAGAGTGGACAACCTACTATGAAATAGCAGCGACTGTCTCCTTAACTGCATCAGTGGTAATCTTTCCTTAACCATATGTTACACTTCCCTGTGTGAACAGAAATACCTGTATGTACTGAATGGCAGAAAAAGGTGTCTGTAAATTAGACCATTCCGTAAGTATACACAGGTAGCTTGCTACTGTCAAGGTATTTTGGTTGTTTTTGCTCTGAGGGTTGTTTCATTTTTTTGTTGTTTATTTTATTTTATTTATTTATTTTTTGAGAGAGAGAAAGAATTGTGTGAAACTGGCTTTCATCCCAATTGAGTGTATTTGTTAACTCACTCTTTAGTAGAGCTACCAAGTGCTTCCTGTTTCTTACTGTTCCTGGGGAGAAAAACACAAGAGATTATCTTTCATCATTTAATAATTACTTGGCACTGCTTAACTGTAGTAATGATTCTTGACATCTACAAATCAGTTAAATACCTATAATATCAGGCTATTAAGAGCAGGAAAAGAATGCTCTTTCTAAAACTTGAGTAATTTTAAAAGTGAAGGTTCCCTGCAGGTCACACATGAAGTACGCAGTTGCCCTCTACCCAGCTGATGACTCTGGTAGTTGGCACCCATCAAGGGCACATGCGTATGGTCCAACCTTGGAGAATGCAGAGTTATGAAAGGTCATTTGGCTTAGAAATAAGGAGATGTAACACTAATTCGAAAGGATACATGCACCCATATGTTCATCGCAACAATATTTACAATAGCCGAGATTTGGAAGCAGCCCAAGTGCCCATCAGTAGAAGAGTAGATAAAATAGCTATGGCACATTTACACAATGGAATACTACTCAGCTGTAAAAAAAGAAGAAAATTTTACCCTTTGTGACAGCATGGAAGGAGCTGGAGAACATTATGCTAAGTGAAATGAGAGAAATACAAGTACCATATGATTTCACTCATATGTGAAATCTAATGAATAAATTGAACTAACAAGTAAAATAGAAACAGACTCATAGATAGAGAGCAGGCAGACAGTTCTGGGGTGTGGGTGGGATGGGGGGGGTGAAGGGATAGTGCAGAAAAGAAAAGAGAAAGAACTCATGGACACGAACAACAGTGTGGTCATGGCAGCAGGGTCTGAGTCGTAGGTGGAGGCTGAGGAGGGTATAGGGCATAAATGGTGATGAAAAATAAAATAAAATAAAATAAATACATAAGTGCAAAAAGGAGATGCACACATACAGTCACTTGCAAATAAGCACTATTTCATTTGTGTAATGTAACTTAGAAAACTGCAAAATGAAACCAATATTGCAAGTATTTCACTCTACACCTTGGAATTGTTTTTTAAAATTATATTATATTTTTGTATAGCATTTTATTTACCCCTCACCTCATTCCAAAAGAAGAGTTTGTTTTGTATTTTAATGAAAAATTTGGTGAATACAAGGCACAGAAAGGAAAATAAAGATCACTTACTAGTTCTTTTCACGGCCAAATAGAAATAACTATTCCAAAATACAGTTTTGCTCCTTGATCTTTTGTCTCCTTGCTTATTTTAGAGAATAGCGAATCTGTTGCCAGCGTGGTACTACAACTTCCGCGTGACCATGGTGACATGGGGAGAGCCAGAACTGAGCTGCTGTGACAGTTCCACCATCAGCTTCATAACAGGTGAGTGGGTGTGGGGAACGGTTTTCTAAGGAGAAAACACTATTTTGCGGAGGTTCTGAAGGGATGTTTCTCCAGAAAGGGCCAGTCACTCACTCAATGGAAGATCATATATTTGAGTCCGAAAAGTCATTTGTTTAAATGATGATCTTTAAAAATTAACGTATTTTACCCTGAGTTACTGTCCTTGATTCATTGTTACTCTGAGTCACCTCCCTTGAGTTATGTGCCCCCGTTTGGAATTGATTAGGATAGAGATGTAGCAGGCTTTCAGGTTCACACTGCACTCAGTCCTTGACCCATTTGATGATTACATTTGCTGGAGTGCCTCCCTTTCCTTATTAATTAAGCCATTTTTAAAGGCACAGGCTGACTGCAGTTTGTCCGCTGCAGGAGTTAAGAGGCTATGGCGACAGGTAGCGCTGGGTTTGAGTCAGGGCTCTGCTGCGTGCTGCGGACAACCTTGAGCAAGTTAACTTTCCGAAGCCTCAGTGTTTTTGATGTGGAAAATGGGATGATAATAGTGTCTGTGCTCTGTTATTATCTTTTATTACTTCCCAATTAAATAAGCTACGTAGTAAGATATATGGCACAAAGTTTAAGTAACTTAAAAATTGTTCCTGTTAGATCTCAGAGCCATAAACTGTTTAGTTCATCATCACATAGAAGAAGAGATAGCTGAGGGGATCAGAGGTAACAATGTAAAGGGGACATCCATCGAAGAGACGTAACCCTGGTTGTTTGAATTAAGATTTTCCAAGAACTTTTGATTGGACTGTAGGGCTGTAATTACAGATGTACTGAGAAAAGAAATGAGAAAAATATTTTTAAATGAAGAATAATTTTGGAAAAATGTTTTCCTCACTGGACATCTAGCTTTGTTCTGTTGAAATTTATAACTTAAAAAAAAATAGGAAAAAATTAATCATATGTGAATTCTTACACAATAAAGTTATATAATTCATCACTTTTCCTTACTGGCCAATGTCTAGCAGAGTGCTCCCCCTTTGCTCAAAAAAGGAGAAAATACTTAACAAACTGTGTTGTGCTGTTGACTGTATTAATAATTATATATATAATTATAATTAAACATCACAGTGTCAGTAATTTATATAGTTCGACTTTGTTGGGATTAACTGAGAATATACGTTTCTTCTCAGACTGCAATGTCTGGAAAAAGTCCAGACTTCTCATCTGAACACTTGATTGAACAGACCTGTCTCGGTTCATTTCTAGCTTTAAAACTCTAGGAAAATTATCTTAATGATCCTAGACTTCTATTTTCTCATTGGTAAAACTCAAAATATTGGCTAACACCTGACTAATAGAGAACAGCTAAGTGCATTAGAACTCACTGCAACAAGGCAGGACACGGCTTTGATGGTCACCGCAGCGACTAGGAAGGGGGACATTGGAAAGGAAGTACTGATAGGATTTGGGGTTCTGGACTCAAGTGATCTAGGTGTGCCTTTCAAAACTGGGAACTGACTGGGATTGGGCAAAGATGGTGATATAACAATTAGGTTGACAAAGCAAATCTGGACACATAAACTGTGTTCATCATCAGCAAGCTACTTGCCAAAGTGAGTAGTCCATTATCTTCAATAAACTGATCTTTGGTCATTTCTTATCTTTTCCTGAAACAAACTACTAGGTCATGCTCACATTGGTGGTCCACAGTCTTATCTGAGCATATTGATACAGATGGTCTCAATTGTCACATCTATAATGTGGACATAATAATACCCCACAGGATAGTGTGAGAATTAAATTATATAATGTAAATCACTATTCAAACATAATGGTAGCTGATTCATTTTTATACTTTTTTTTTTTTTGAGGAAGGCACTCCTTTATTTATTTATTTTTTTTATTAATTTGTTTTTGTTACAGTTGTTTCTCCTTTTTCTCCCACTGACACCCTCCTCCCCAACCCCGCCGCCCCATCCCCAGCTTTGTTGTCTGTCCATTGGTCATGCCTACATTCATATAAGTTCTATAGTTTATCTCTTCCTTCCCCAATCCCTCCTCCTCTGAGGTTTGTCCGTCTGTACCCTACCTCTATGTCGCTGGGTCAATTTTGTTCATCAGTTTGTTTAGTTCATTATACTCCACAAATAAGTGAGATCATATGATATTTGTCTTTCTCGGCTTGGCTTGTTTCGCTTAGCATAATACTCTCCAGGTCCTTCCATGCCATCTCAAAGGATAAGAGATCTTTCTTTCTTATAGCTGCACAGTACTCCATTGTGTATATGTACCACTGCTTTTTTAATCCACTCATCTACTGATGGACACTTGGGTTGTTTCCAGATCTTAGCTATTATAAATAGTGCTATCAAGATAGGGGTACATATATTCTTTCTGATTGGTGTTTCAGGTTTCTTAGGGTATATTCCTAGAAGTGAGATCACTGGATCAAATGGCAGTTCAATTTTTAACTTTTTGAGTTAACACCATAGTGTTTTTCACAGTGGCTGCACCAGTCTGCATTCCCACCAACAGTGTTCTAGAGTCCCCTTATCTCCACATTCTCGCCAACACTTGTTATTTGATGATTTGTTGATGGCGGCCATTCTAACAGGTGTGAGGTGATACCTCATAGTTGTTTTAATTTATACTTATTTTTAAAACTAGTTAAATTTTGGCTTTCTTTCTTTCTTTTGCCTTTCTTCTCATTTCAATTTTAAAGCAAATAAGGATCTCATACTTTACTTTTCTATGCTTTTAATTGTGACCAAATTGCCAAATTGTGTAGTATAAGAGGAAACAGGAAAAAAATATTTGAATAAGATGTGATTTATTAGGACCTCAAGTCTACTGTCTTTGTTAGGCAATTTATTTTGTCTGCAAGTCAAGTTCATAATTATGCTGGTGTACAACATAATGTTTAATAAACAAATAGTGACATCTTGTGGTCCTTCAGCATTTTGATGGATTTTGAAGTAACATGGAGTATAAAAATTCAAAGACCTTGTACCTCTGAAGGGGAAATATATACTTCTGGGTTTCCAATTTTAAATATGTTTTTGTCCTCATTAGAATTAGAACATGAAAAAATATCCTTTGAAGAAACATAAGTATAGGTAGTTGTATATAATGACGTATGTAAAATATATTAAGAGGCCATAAAGAAGCCAGGGTTATTATTCTTTATTAGACTATTCTGAAATATGATGTGGGTTTGTGTTATTTGCTAAGACACATTGTTGATATTTCAAGATTTTATTGTCAAACATATAGAAATGCTACTGCTATTTCATATGAAACAGAAATGTGTTTTTTACTCTCTAATTTCAAATCTTGTCAGTGCATAATTTTTGAAAGCATTGTTAGTTATGAATGTGTTTTGAGTATCAGTTACACATTAAAGAAAATAATTCTTTATGATGTATGGAAATTCTCCTCCAGATATTTGAGTTGATGTTTTGCAGTATCGTGGAATGGAAAACTTGCCTGTCTTTAAACCACTACTCACATGGAATTTAAATTCAGCTGGGTGTCTGTTTTTTTCAAATCTTCAGAATTATCAGCTACATAAAAATAATTGAAATATGCTTCTTTCACAGGTCATAAATTATAAACCTTTGATAAGCTCGTCTTCCCAATTGAAATTTTTTAAAAGTTTAAGTGTATAAAAACATAGAATAAACTAATAAACTCAGTATTATTTAACTTTGCAGAATGATGAAAAACTCTTTTTTTCCTTCCCTTAATACTTGCTTCAGCAACATTTGTTAAGAGCTAACCTGCAATGCTCTGGGCTGAGACACTGTCAATGATGTCACCTTATATTTTATAGAAATAATATTTATTTTCTGTTTCTCTATTCATTGTTCTTACTGTCCTTCATTTCCATAAACACCTTTGCTGTACCACAATGGAAAATATTTACTTTTATAGAACCTCAGAGTTTCCAGTACTTCTTTGAAAATAATTTCACCAATGCCTAATGATTAATTTGTTAATGCAACAAGCATACCCAAACAAGTGAACATTTTAGGAATTTTGAAACTGTGAAGTTTGTATAAAGACCTTGATGTCCTCAGGTTCAGATAGTACTGCCTCCTGTTTGAGCCATACAGGTGAGGTCCCATGAAATGAGTGCCACCTTGTGCTATGTACCTTCCCTCTGGTACTGAGCCCCAGGGCCACCATGTGGTGTGAACTTTAATTCTTTAAATTAACTTTATATGGAATTTAATGATCTATTGATAGGGACTCTAGTTATTAGTAGACTCTTATATTAAAGTGGTCCTCTTTCCCCCTTACAGCCCCAGTCGCTCCAGAAATCATCTCTGTGGACTATTTCAACAGCCTGCTATATATAAGCTGGACCTATGGAGATGACACAACTGACCTCTCCCATTCAAGAATGCTGCACTGGATGGTTGTGGCAGAAGGAAAGAAGAAAATTAAAAGGAGTGTATGTTTCTCTGAATCCCAACATTGGACATCTGAGCATATATTTGCATAAACTATGGAAAACAATTGTGCAAAATGTATTGAGACATTAAACAAGCATTTGGATGCCAGTTGGCATTGTTTTACACTCTGGAGAAAAGATAGTGAACAAAAATTAAATTCCCTTTTCTTTATGGCTCTTCCTTTTTAATCTTTAATAGGTAGCTGAAGTAGTTGTAACTATTGATTTCACTTATATTTAAAGTTATGATTTGAGCTTTTTCTTCAGGGTGCCAAACATTTTCAAGAAAACCACAGTTAATACATTTTAATATTTTCTCCAGATATCCCCCAACCCCCTAAATATCTGGGTATGTTAGGAACACTGATTTCTTTTCTCCTGATATATGAAGCTTTTTGACATTGTATTAGTTAGTTAGGGTACAGACTAAATGACTGTAATTAAAAAAAAAAGATAGTGGCCTAAAGAAAATCGAAGTGTAAGTGTCTCTCATGCCAACCCGGGACAAATCTAAATTCTCGTCCTTGTTGCTCCAGCTGCCACTGCATGTGGTCCTCACCTGCACAAGTGCGTTTTCATTGTCACTTCATCTAAATGTCAGCCTGAAGGATGGAGAAAGAGTGTGAAAGCCCAGCTATTACCGAGTGTGAATAAAACTATAAGTTGTCTATGTGATGTACAATCTATTGGTCAGAATTGAGTCACGTGGTGTCCTCTGGTTACAGGGAAGGCTGGGAAATACACTCTTTAGTTAAGAAGCCAGCTATCTTGACATGGCTAGGTTTCTTCTGAGTGTCTCCATTAGGGTTGAGATATATTCCTACCAGGAGCAACCCAGCAGTTGTCTTTTCTAAAATTTGCTGTGAATATGAAGGAAACTATCAGAGTGATACCTAACCAAACAAGAGAATCCATTGCAAAAAGGCTCTGATATGTATTATGCGTGTTTAGAACTGCTTTGCATTTAGCTCAGATGAGGACTTTATATCACTTTTAGAGAAAATAACGTATTTACAAGGTTGTAATCAATTGTAGATTGCAGCACAGCACGGAGAGGCCATGTCTATGATAGCCCTGCCGTTGTTTAGAATGGTATTATAGCTCAAGTTTATTAGAAGGTTAAACCCTCAATTGTGATGATCTTGCAGGTAACTCGCAATGTAATGACTGCAATTCTCAGCCTGCCTCCGGGCGATGTCTACAATCTCTCAGTAACTGCTTGCACTGAAAGAGGAAGCAATACCTCCAGGCTCCACCTTGTCAAGCTCGGTAAGATGCGCGCCGGTGTGAGTGTGAAAGGAAGCGTGCTGGGGAGACCAGTGTTGGCATTTCTTGGTTTAGCATGGTTTTCTCAACTCGAGGAAATAACAAAAAAATGGCTCACTCGATTTTAAGTACAAAATAGTCATTTATACTACCAAAAGAGTATGGGCATCTTAGTATAAGTTTCTATGAATGCAATGTTCACTGTGTTGGGAGACAGCTGTGTTCATCATTCACAGTACGCTTAGAGGAACTAAGAGTCTCCGGATTTTAGAGATGGAAGGCCCTTAGAGATTACCTAGTGCAGTGTACTTAACCCTATCAGAAGCCATTCCCTTTTCATACAACTACTAAGTAATGCTCCCTTTAATATCTCCAATTAAAATTCATAGGTAAAACAAGCCATATATTGATTTTTAAAAATTTGATATAATATCCTAACTCTAATATAAAATCAAGGTAACATAAAATAATTTATAATAAAAGAATATGTATTCCCTCAGTATATGTTCAGATACAGCTCTTCTAAAAATCGTAAGTTTGCCTGATGACTACACATTATTAGTATGAATAAGTTGGAGTTCACAAGAAGTAAAAAGATTAGTAATTCTTCTATATAAGAAGTATAGAAACAAATAAAGGAATGAGCAAGTTTATACTGATTAGTTTTAAATAACTGAACAAGCATAAACAAGTGGACTCTAGAATTAAACCTAAAGTTAAGATGAGTAATAAGAGATTAGATACATTTTTATATGATAAAAGAAAGAGGCAAATAACCTTAATTAAAGTAGAGATCACATGCCAAGAAAAATAATAGGCTGCAGGGAAAATGAGTACAGTATAATATTCTTGAAAATGAACTAGAAGTTATTGTGCAATATGATGTCAAACTAATTTTTTACATTATGAAACAAAACGAAGATGCGACACTATGTAACACAAACACATTTTCTACATTCAACCATCTACGATGTATTGAGATATAAATTTAGTTTCTGATAGTTAAAGGGACCTCAGAGATGATCATTCTATAATCAGCAGGCAAGAGGATGGATTGGCAAAAAGTTATGTGGTAGGCCTCATGGGACAGTATCAGTTTAAAAGTACCAACCCCTAAAATAAATGCATTTCAATTCAATATGTAATTTTCACAGCAGAGCTCTTATTTTGTATTTTAAAATTAAAATGCATAAAATGGTAATACAATATTTCAAAACAATACAACTCACTGACATCACTGTTTAGATGTCTGCTAATGTAATGTATACGCTGTGTCTGAGTGTATTCATAAGTGTCTCAAATCATCAGTTATTTCATATGTTTATATGTGCAGCTATAAGTCAAGACTAATCCAGGGTGTTTTATTAGCAGCTTAAATACCATGAGTAGCATGGCTGACAGTAATGTATCTTTAGAAAGCTCTTAGAACATTGCAAGCAAAACAGAGTATAATATTTCCTTAGTTTACCCAATAGTTGCATTTCTCTATAATTCATCGCACTGTCTTAAATTTTTTGTTTCATATTTGCCATGCAAAAACTAAATTCTGGCACTGAAATATTTTAAAATTAAATAGGTGGTTAGAAATACATGACATACTGAATAGACACTATGGGCAGAAAAAGTATTACATACTTCATGTGCAGTATTACATAACTTTTAAATAACATCTTAATTCCATTTATAAATCTTTCTTACTAACAGATTTCTTCTAAGTTATTTTACTTAACTTGAAAAAATATCCAATATTATGGTAAAGTACTTGCAATTATATTTATAGTGGATTTATTTTGGTGTGGCATTAGAAAGTCACATGGTACATTGGACATGAGACAATTTTTCTGTTTGGAGTTTCCTTGATCATTGCAGGACATCTAACATTTCTGTGTCCTGCTCAGAGACGTCCAGTTAACTTCTGTTGTGACTATTAAAAACATTTCTGCAAATTTTTAAATACCCTCAAGGGGGTGGTACCGTTCCTGTTGAGAATCTATGGTAGAGTTCAATTTGGGGCACTGAGGGTAATCTATTCTTCGTCTCAGTCTATACTTGCATTCTAGGAATGTGGAGATCACCAGCTTCCAGCATTGCATTGATCTTTCTATTAAAAAAAAAATAGCCTTCCTATCAGTTCCAACCACTGTTGGTAATTTTGTCCACGTACAAATGCCAGGTTAAAACTCATTTCTGGATAAGTAGAACTATTTGAAGATTATGTTCACGTTCCCAGTACCCTTCTCGTCCCCAGTTTTATCATTACCGGTAGCTGCGATTCTCAGGTGCCAGCTGCTTTATCCAACTTGTTCGATTTGTTAGTCTGCCTTAAAGTGCAAGTTCAGAGGTGGCCAAGCCAACATAGCATTCAGTGGGCCTAGCGCATGCTTCACTGTCATTTTATGTGACATTATGGATGATCTATGAAGCGAGTATGGTTTAAAGGTGGGAAATGGTGCAGTTATACTCACACTACATTGGAGCTGAGTAAAAACCATGATAGTTTCCCAAACTTATTATGAGTTTTAGAGCCTCCAAAGCTCCTTGTTAACAGACAGGACTACCTAAACTAGTTTAGAAAGTCCTTTAAACTTTTCAAGAATAAAAGGTCCACAGAAATTATTTCTAGTGAATCACCATCCTTGGAATCAACAAGCTTTGCCTTGTTGGTATTTTAATATCAGACAGAATATTGCTTCTACATTTTCCTCTCTGAAAACACAACCATCTGTATATAATTTACCTGTTCCCAGCCTTTTGTGCCCCCTGAAAACTAAATAACCTTACTTTTTATTCATTTGTCTAAATGTCTATTTTCTATTCCATGTATTACATCATTATGTTCTATAAGCTCTTTCAAGCTCCTGTAACACACAATGCCTTGCCTACTGCAGATGCTCAATACTGCTCATACTGCTGAATGAATTGAATTGAAATTACAGACCTCAAAGTTGAAAATAGTATTCCAATTAATATTTAACCAAAATAAGTTTCACCTTTCAGAGAAACAAAATCATTTTGCTTTAGTAATACTTAAATTGAAATTATTTTTTCTATCACAAAACTTTGATTCTAGTTCCTTTATGTTTCTTTAAAGCATTTGTTTGGTATGCGCAAGAATCAAATTAATTTTACTTTTCAGAAAAATGCCACTTTGGCACCCAGATTTTCATGGTTTGTGTGAATCAGAATGCTGTTGTTGAACCTAGGACAAAAATTGCTTGAGCTAACAACTCCAAATTCAAAGTCTGTGTGATGGAGACCTCTTTGTCCTTCTACTTGCTGTCATGAAGAACAAGATCTATATCTATGAAAAGAAATCACACTATGGATGAATCCAGTATAATATAAATTAATCCAAGATGACACATACAAGGGTAGAGAGGCTTCAAAACAATTGCCAAGAATTTTCAATTATTATGTCATCAGTAAACATCCACAGAAGACCTGCACCGATAGCAGTGCCGTTCTCGGGGTTTGAGCCAGTCATCCCTTTAGGAATTTCAGGTTGCTAGCAGTTCGTTCCATGGTCACTGTACTGGTATATGACGACAGCTCCCTTTGGCAATCAATAAAAGTGTTGATCAAAGTACACCAGGACTTGTTATTTTACAAGAACTCATTGATCTGCAGGCAACTGTGGCTTCAACCAGCAACCAGTCATAACTTTAAGTCTTTATAAATCTACCTGGAACTTCAGACAAACTTTAGAAAGATTTAATATGTTTATCTCAGACAATCAATTTTTGCAACTAAAAAAAGACAGGAGCCCGGCTACTGTGGCTCAGTGAATTGAATGCCATCCTATGGACTGAGAAGTCCTGGTTCGATTCCGGGTCAGGGCACATGCCCAGATTGTGGGCTTGATCCCCTATGGGGGGGTATACAAGGGGCAGCCAATCGATGTTTCTCTCGCACATAGATGTTTCTCTCTCCCTTCCTCTCTCTATAAAAAATCAATAAAAACATTTAAAAACAATAATGAAAGACAGGAAGAGAAATAGAAATGAGAAGTATTGGACATACCACAAAATAGCTCTATGGTTATATAATAACAATTCATTAATTTATTTAACAAATATATACTGACAGCCTTCACAGCACTGCTCAGATGCCAGACTGCTTGTAGCAGTGAACCCAAAGGACTTTCTCACTTGCTGTTCACAACATGATAGTGTGGTGCAGAGGACTTTCTGATGGAGTGAAAATAGAAAATGAGAGAAAGGGAAATTAAGAATGACTTCAAGGCTTTGCTCTTGAGCAACTAGGGTGGATGGTGGTGCAATTTGCTGAGATTGAAAAGACTGGAAAAACTAGAGAAGTAAATTTAGGGTAAATTGAGAACCAAGACTTCTTCCTTGGAAATAAAAATACTGAGAAAACGTTCAAGTGCAGTTGTAAGGAGATTATTGATACAAGTATCTGGAGATCAGGAGAGAATTCTAGGCTGGAAATACAAATTTGGGGGTTTCTGGACAAGATCACCAAATAGTAAGCAGAAATGGAGAAGAGAAGCCCTGGGTTTAGCCTAGAAGAAGCACCCCAGCATTTAGAATCTGAGCAGTGGAGAAGTCAGCAAGAGAGCCTGGAAGAAACGTCTACTAGGGTCAGAGGAAGCCGAAAGACAGAATGTCCACACCACCATTGTCAAACTTTCGTCTTATCTTGATCATAGATGTGCTCGGGCAGGTTCAGGATAAAGAATTAGAAAAGTTTGGTGCTGGGAGAGATTTGTAATTTAGTGCAATGTCCTCATTCGAGAAATAACATCAATGTCCTTGAGAAATTTGGCCACCACACACTGTTGAGCCTGTGTCTAGAAACAGTGATCTAATACTTTCTATTCATCTGTTGTTTATGTTTTCCTGGGCTTGCGTATATTTTTTAAATAAAAACTTCCATTTTCCATTAACACATTTGACAGAACAGGGAGGGGCCTCACACCCATCTGTGTGGTTTTCTGTTCCTGTTTTGAGATTTAGCCTTGATTTTCTTAATCTCAGCCTGAA